TTTCGGCAACTTCGGGGGATACAGTGTAAATGAGAGATTCCATACTTCTCGAAAACATGAGCAAGCAAAGTGAATAACGACAGTACCGTACATATATACTGTATATATAACACATCATCCCTATCTCATACCATCTGCAAAGTTATACTGTATTGCTGAAGGGACTTCAAAATAAATTTGAATCGGGCATCTTCGAGTGAGAGCATACAGCATACAGTGAGAGCTGATTTGCGTAGGTTACTTATTAACGCTGGTAAATGTAAAATGTTTCATAAATTCTTGAAAATGTTCAAAATTACGAAATAGATGTTCTATATACATGCAAGAATAATGATGAGTATATATATACTATGAAAATCTTTTGCATCTTCTCTGGAACATATATATAAGTGCTGTAAAAATTAGCCTCGTTCAATTCACAGCAGGAAGGCCCGGACAACTTGATTAAAGGCACTGCATTCTTGTACTGCATCGTGCAGTGTATGTGCTGACCAGCACACCAGGAAAGCAAATCTCACGAAGTTTTGTTGCTTTACAGCACCGTACGATGGTGCTCATTTATATTTATAGTTATAAATGAATCAAAATGTGGGATGCATCAAAATATACTTTAACTCAAGAGTTTTATTGATCTAGTGAAAGATAACACTGTGTATACAGTATAAATGCATGGCATTTTGCTGTCGTATGCTGGGTTCCTCTGAAAATCCAGACATAGTCAGTACTGAGACTGGATACACTGTTAGTTCCTCTTCAATAAACCATATGCAACTCCAGCATGCACATGAACATCACAGATATACCACAATTAAAAGCCATACTTGACTCATGATGCGAGACGTGATCATCTCCTAGATCAAGTTAAAGTTATATGATTTTACCAATGCATTGATGGTACAACACCACTCACGGCATCTGTCACTTTCAGGGATGGACACTGTAAATAAAAATATCAAAATGAATACGCAAATGCAAGCTTCAAATATGAGCCCATTTATCATGCAAAATCGCTTCACAGAAAAAAAAAAAACATAAAAGCCAGTTTATGCGACCATAGTAGAATCATATACTCTACACTTTCATATTGCCCACCAAAATTCAACAGCGGTTAAATCATCAGAGACGTTTGTGCATTCCACGGAAGTTTTCGATGAAAGATGAAAATCGCGAGACGAATTGCCTTGGAATGAACATATTCCTGTTGGGCAGGACAGATGTCTTTTGAATTATAAATGACCGACAATCGTTAGGGTGTTTTGTACAATGTCCCCTCAAGTCAGTTGAAGTAATAATACACATAGGTGAACCGCTGCTTCAATCACACATAACGGGTCATTCCTTATTCGCACACGAAAAAAAAGTAGGAAGACGGATACAATCGCGCAGCAATACACAAAATGCAGTTCAATTCACTCATTTGGATAGAGACGCGGAAGGCTGTCGTACTCCCGACTCAAAAAGGAAGACCGTCTGGATTCACAGGGCATACGGATACTGAATAAACGCAATGCGAAAATTTGCGTCAAGCATCAACAATCCAAGGCATTGAACTAGGTCGAAGTTTTCTCTTGATTGATGAAAATCAAGAGGACTCATTAAGCGATTACCGGTAAAATTCCTATTCGAGTCACGTTCTCATCACACCTTTTTGCATCGAGAAACATTCGAAACTAATGTTACGAAAAGGTGCTCAGCGAGTCACCGTACCGTACAGGCATCAAAAAAAGCTTTCGGCATAGAAAACTCACTTTTCCATCACTCATGGCAAAAATTTTGGGACTGGATCGCTGACGAGCTTTTTGTCATATATACAAGGCATTACAAGTTTCAAAGCCACTTTCGGCGGACACGTAGAAAGTTCGACACGAAGCTCTTCGCAGTGACGTTTGAGCTGAAGAAAAAATTGTGACGAGAATGGAACGTTTCATACGAAAACCGCTGTCAACCGCGAGTTTTTAGCAATTCGAAAGCTGCAGTGAAACTGAACCGAGGGCGTGAAACACGCGGTGATCATGAACGAAAGTCCAACTGAAAAAAGGTGCACCATGTTCGGCAAAAACTAATATTTTAAATTGTGTTCGTAAAACCTTTAGGATGCCCCCCCAATATAGACGGGGGTATTATAATGTACTGTAATTGGTTTTGCTTTGAAGCGAGGGAGGGGGGGGGGGGAGCATTACATATATACATATAGAGCGATGACGGAAGAAGGGGATAATTCACCATTGGTTTTGATTGAAGATATAAACGCCGAGCATCATCAAACTTTTAGTCAAAAATGACGAGAAGGATTAGTTCCCAGATTCATCGGGAATGTCTCATCGGCAATGACACCTCCTGAGCGGAAAAATTTTTCCTGAATTTCAGGTCGTATCGCGATTCAAGCGTTGTTTGCATTAATTGCAACACAGGAACACGAGAATAAAAATCTTGGGAAAGTTAGGAATAGAAGGTAAGGACGGAGGTCTGATTTCCTCTCAGTATCAGGAACGGAGGCATGTCCTTCGTTAACATTTCCAACCAAGCCATATACAGCGGAGCTGAAACGGTATTCTTCTTCGGCATCGGCAGAGTCCTGTAAAAAATAAAATTCATTTTCATTCATGGATTTTTTTTCATGATCATTTCATGCAGCTTGAACCTTGTGGTCATGGATTGTAAGACGACGATTTTTTTTTAGCAATAATACGAACCAATCCTTGACTTACATGACAACTAATGACGCAGCAGAAGAATGGTGTTGCAGCAGTTCACGCAAACGCATATGACGGTTGTTCTTGTCGCGCATACTAAGCATTTCAGCTTCACTCACAACCAAGGCTAAAAAGACAACGATCAAGACAATTAAAGAACGTCGGGTGACGAAGAAACCTAAACTCACCTGGATTGGACGCCGAATTGTCTGTGGTTTCTGTTTCACGGAATGGTTGAATTAGGGAATTGAAGTAGTCCTTCGTAGAATCTTGTGCTTTCTTTTGCACATCCGAAATCACAATGACGTCACTGTAGTCAATTCTGAATTTAGTCAACAACGCTGCCATGCTGTTGAAAGAATGAGAAATACAGTGAACGTCCAAAAATCAAATATGGTCGACAAAGAAACCTTCTCTGTTCTTGTTCCAATTCGCCTTTTGATGATGCTAGCGAGAATATCCTCAATTTGCAGTCACGCCACTGCGAGCGGTTGTTCAAGATGTAAGGAATCAAAATGGTCAAACCTGTTGGAAATAATATCAATGTGAATAGAAGGAAGCTCTTCAGCTTGCCTTACATCTTCCGGATTCCGAAGAACGGTCTAGGTACACAAGCAATTTACTACCTGACAAGATGGGCTAGCTAAGTATTGTACAAAGGAAAGGAGTAATATCGGAAGTCTGATATCATATGCATCTGCATAAAATTCTTCACGAATCTCAAAAAAAAAAATTAGAAAGCGAAATGTACTCAAGTGGTAATAATCTTACTAAAATCTCCACTTTCTTTCGTCATTGGAAGATAAAACCCGCTTCCAAGAAAATCTAGCAATAATACACAAACCTCCGTCATCATACAGCCACCAAACGTCGATGAAACCTTTCGGCTGCTTCTGTCGGAATCGCGTTAGATTGTGAAGAATATTTTCGGGAAGCTCTGCTCCACCAGGACCGCGAAATAATTCAGACACGGATGAGCGACGCTTTTTCTTCGATTTCTTGCCTTTCTCAAGTTCTACCACACCGTTGTTGGAACGGGATTGCTTTGGAGAAGCCGGTGGGCTATCGTCAGCACCAGCTGTAAACAATTTGACAATAGCTATTCATAAATTATGTGAATGATAATTATATTTTCATGACTCTAAAATTTATCTGAAGCTCGTGAACTTTCGTGGAACAGTTTTGATTATCCCAAGATCGAATTCAAATAAATTTCTTCCCGGGCCCCAGGATAGATGTTTCCCTAACTAAGAAGTCAGCTCATACGTTGCACGGACGTTGGAATTCAAAGCGTTTCAATTTGCTGGAACAAGTTATTCTCATTACACAAATCTTTTCATTATATTTCACACGGTATGGGATACGATTTTGCAGAACTCATCAGCCTCGAGAGGGAAATTCAGTGGAAGAAAAAGTTACAGGCTTTCTTCCTACAGCAATGTTAGAATGCAGTGAACACTTCTACGATGGCGCTTGAATTCAAAAAAATAATAATACGATGATCACACCATTACAAATGGCCGACTCGAAATAAACCAATATGTGCAACTAGAAATGGCATGATCATGCAAACAAAACAAGAACAAAAACGAACGCATGAAAACAAGACGAACACGGTGAAAACTGCACAGCATGTTCGCGGCCAGCTTGATGTGAAACCTTGAAAACCCTCCATGCACGTACTGTATCAGTATCGCGCCACTCACCAGCCGCAGTTTCGGAAGGTAAGAGATGACATCTAGTTCGAAGATCAGCATTAACAAAAGCGTTTTGAAAGAGAGCCACGATGTCGGGAACTGCAACCGTAACCGGTCAGAGAGAGAATGGCAGTAAGATTCATTTCACGAAAGCTTTCGGATGTTCGAGGAAAGATAAATATCGATGGCGAAGTGCAACAATCCCAAGTGCAAACCATTTACAATTTCTCACAGCTGCTAAGAGTTAACTATAGTCCATCACGAGCTTCCATTTGAAACAGCTTATCGAAAGTTTGTCTGCATGGTGCAGAAGATGAAACACATTTCATGCCAGCGAGCGATTAATTCGTCAATAACCTCCTTCGCGAACAAAAAAGAAGCATGGGATTTTGATGATAGCTCGCCAGTGTGCTCGAGGAAGACTTTAAGGGGAAAAAATCCGAACCGATCCAAAATGTTCTAGGTTAGAACGAGTGGTTCTAGGATAACGTAAAACCCGGTAAGCTTCAACTTGGCACATGGAAACAAGAAAAACAAATAAGTTCACCTTGTGATAGCTGATCCGCAGACAGATTATACACGAGCGCCTTTTCGTCCTTCTGTTGTCCCGATTCTTCCTCATCGTTCTCAACCATATTGGAATAATCCAGTCCGTCTTTCAATCTCAGAATTCCTACCGCCAGGTAGCTGTCAAAAGCCGCACTGAAAAAAGAGGTATTGCTGAGAAAATTCTTCGATGAAAATAAACAATTATCGTTCGCTTAAAAAAACGCTTCAAGACTCCTAAAAGCAAGGTAAATTCAAAATGTCAAACAGCCGAACTTGTAAGCTAAAGCTAGACAATAATTTTACGATGAATTCCGCATACGGAAGAGCTTACTGGATGGTATTGACGTAATAAACCAGCTCATCTTTTGGGGCAACTCTCCAGTCAGCTTTGAACCCGAGTAACAGCATGTTCGGCTTCAGTCGACCGATACCAGCAAGCTGAATCAAAGCATTGGCCCCCTTCTCGAAATCTTCTTCGTCTATCACGTTGAAAAACCCGCGGATCTTATGACGAGTGAACCAGGCCTGAGCCTTGCGCATGTAATGATTTTTCACACTCTGCTTTACTGGGCCCTGTGTGATGGAGATCGTCAAGTACACTCATGATATACGATAACCAACTGCAGGCATACTTTGATCACTTGGCCCACAACCATCAGTGACATATGCTTGGTTATCATGTTCGCGAAGTCAATGAGAGGCGGACGAGTCGAAGGAAGTCCAGACAAGACGAGCAACTGTGGCCTATAATTCTTGACGTGCTCTTGCAACTGATCCAGCTCATGCACTGCTTTCAAAGCAGCGTTATACGTTTGAGCCTGGTTGCTGGATCCCCAGTTAGCCTCTAAAAGTACACAGAAAATTACAAAAACTCCAAAGGCACGACAATATAATCGTCTCAGCGAACCTGGTTTACGGTAAGACACATATAAGTAGAGAGTTATTGTGATTCCAAATGTAATCAACGCCGTGGTCCAGTTGATCAGAAACATGGTGGCCACACAAAGGACGGTTCCGAAAAGAGCAACCCACGCATTGTAAAACTGAAGAATAAAATACATTAGAAAACCCTCCACAATGAATGCGATCAACGTACTCGTACAGTACAGTATATTAATATGCGCTCGAAACATACATCTTCACTAAGTTACTGACACCAAATACCTTGAATGAAGGTCTCCATCCCGGAGATTTCGTGATGCTCGCATGGAAAACGGAGAAGTTGATGAGCGCATACGCGGCCAGGAAGAAATTCGACGTGAGGGTACCAACAGCATTCAGTTCGGCTTTAAAATATAAATATAAAAAGATGGAGGCGAAAACGCTGCGTGACAAGTGTACAGTAAAAAAATTCCTTACCGATGATAGTACAACCGACAGCAATGCAGAAACAAAGAATATAACCTCTGACAGGGTCATTATTAGCTCCATAACCAACCGAAAAAAAATGAATTCCTGGGTATAAGCGATCTTTGGCGAGCGCCTGTCGGGAGAAAAATATTCAATTATATCCCGTTCTTGTAAGACTTTAAAAACCGGCCTACCATAAAAACACGAGGAGCTCCAACCAAGCTGGCAATGGCGGAAGACAGAGTTGCAGCAAAACAGCCACCATATATCAACGGCTCCCACGCAGACATCGCCGCCATGGCCTGGACACAAAGAAAATGTACGTCAAGACGACAAAAATAATTTCACAGAAACGAGTGAAAAAGCGCTTTAGACGATAAAATCCTCCTATGTTGGCGTTACAAGTATTTTCTCTAGACGAGTATTGGATTAAAAATTGGACCAATCTCATCCACGGCATGATCATTGAACATTTGATTACTTTAGAACACAGCGTCGGAAGTAAAGTCATTATAAAAAAGAAGCATAGAAATATAAGTAATATTACTGCTCTCGCTCCTCAAGGGTTGAACTGACAATAGGTAAGCTCAAAAATAGATAAAAAATACTGATACGAGAAGTTTCATCCAGTTCACCTGATTATCAAACTGCAAACCGAATTTGCAAGCATCATCGCCCGTCGCGTTGCATTTGAAGGCATTGCTATTCACGTAGTCAGCAATGCTCAGCGTCGGTTTCGTAGCATTGCCCTCGCACGCATAATCCGTTCCACTATACAAGTCGCAAACATCACCTGAAAAAGCCATATTTATTTTCCGTCGTTACATAGAACGAGACAACTTTTTGAGTTACCCGTTGCACGTCTCATGCATGATCCGCCGACCATCAATCCATATCCGACGTACGAAACACAGGTAACGCCAATCGCCAACAGAGTTCCGAGCGGGATGGCAGATCCGGGGTCCTTCAAACATTGTCGATCAGTTACAAACGAGAAATGGGTCAATCAAATCAGGCGAAGACGAACCTTCAAATCTCCGCTCAAGTTCGCTCCTGCAACAATTCCAGTGACTGCCGGGAAAAATACAGCGAACACTGAGAAGAAGTCTTGCTGCTCGCCTTCAGAGGGTACGAAATCTGGTGCAGTATTTGAGTTCCAGACGTCAGCTGGTTGAAAAAAGAATTAAATAAAACTGCAGTTCGTTGGAACCGAATTCGTTGCTGCAAAAAAAAAAAAGAGACATCTCCGAAATGTCAGGAAAAGTATGCAGCTATGCCGACTGATCAGATCTACTGCTCGGTTCTCATAAAAATCATGAATACGCGTATCATCCTTTAAAAAAAACTTTTTTGAGAGCATGGAAAACGAAAAAAAAAAAAAACAATTGGATTCCTGATGTCAAGACCGATGCCTAAAAAAGTAAGATAAAACAAGCAAGGCCCATTCTAAAAAAAGTAAGATAAAACAAGCAAGGCCCATTCGAGCTCTTCTCTCTTACATGTAACAAACGCGCCCATTCTGGTACTCGAGTAATAAATTCCTTTCCAAAACTCACAGCTGTATCCTAAAAACCCTTTAGAACGGGCTTCGTCACTTCGAGGTCCGATGAAGGTACCAATGATAAAATCGAACTGCGCGGTGATGAGAACGAACAGTAGGAACATTTGAGTCTGCAAAAAGAAAATTTGATCAACATCAAAATTCTTCATAAATACGGGTTTAGTCGAGAATCCTGTACTTACCCTCGTCACCCAATCCATCCCAACAAGTGCTATTCCAAGAATGACAACCAGTGTTGGCAACGCCGACGACACGGATGTCCGACGGCCCGTCGTCAATAATTCGCGTGTTGAATTCGTTTTTCAACAAATCTTGGAGGGATAGGCAGAATCCAATGATGTACATAGAGCAAGAAATTGAATTCGACAGAGTGAACATCAACCCAATTGCTCCTCCGAACTCCGGTCCCAAACTTCGACTGATCATGTAATAAATTCCACCTGCAGGCGAAAAAATAATTTAATTAAAATACTAGAACTGAGATATTCTATCGAATTTGCTGGTCAACTGACCGAACAAACAAGCACCAAATCTCGCATTCAGTGTCATATTTTCAAAAACTGAAAAAAATCACCGAACCTAGTAATGCCGGCTAAACACCTCGGAGAGTTTGAACAACTCAAGCGAATTGATCGATTGGAGAAAATTACTCCGGTGAGCATCGCACAACGGTACGAAAATTTCTTAAAAACTCAGTACAATACTCCCACATTCGCACCAATGATTAATGAATCAAGACGGCTGGTCATTAATACTAGAAAAAACCTGCTATCGAAACCAAAAACATGATCACGATAACAGCAACTAAATACGGATTGATGATGTAATCAACAAACCGGCTTTGATTTGTCCGTTCGTACTGACAGCAGACATCGAAATTGCGGTGATAAACGTGATCAGATTGCAAAGCAGGATAACAGCCGTGCCAAGTCCTGGAATGGAAGAAAAAGCATATGCCATCACACAGCACGACGGCAGTGCCCCTTTTTCCCTTACCAATTCCAGCTTGCCCGACGACCCACGTGAGTCGCAGGAAGAGCATTACACCCCAGATATTCAAAAGACATCGCATCTGTTAAACGAACGATACGATTCCAAACAGTTACTTGACGAACACGTACGTCACCATAATTCGAAACACGACTCATGATACTCACGAAAACTCCTTCTAGCCAACCGAACTTGATAACTTTTCCTTTTTTTGCAGATGGATCTTCGTCTTCCGGCTGAACGCCCTGTAAAGAATGAACGAATACGCTTTAGTCATGGGAGTGAACGACGCCTCCCCCCTTTATTCAAATGAATAATACTGTAATCGATCTCGTCCAACATAAATGCTCGACGATTTAGAAGAATAACCACTCGAAAAATGATTGGAACGCTGCAATAACACAAAGACTACAAATACTCAAGGGGCGCGTTATCCGCCTCTCCATTAAAAGGTCCCCCGCGTAGGGAAGTTTTCCTTTCCGACGCATCCACAATACGTCGCGGAACATCAAAATTGACGCGTCGTTTAATCTTACTTACGCTACGCGCGTGAAGCCTATCAAATACAGAAGAACTCCTCCGTTATCTGCTTCATTTTTCATCATTACAAACTATTTTCCAACGCTTCAAGATCATCAAATTCTTTACAGATAGGTTTCAGCACGCGTTCGTCACCTTTCACAACAGCGGCATTCAAATACAGAAGATTCTTTCGAGCGAACGTCTGATCTGTCAACTCTGTTTGTGCGATGAACATACGAGCGTAGTAGTTCATAAGCTTGGGAATATATGCACAGAATGTGAAATCTAGTTTAAAACCCAGATACCTTCACATTGATACAGTGGGTTCGGGTGAATTTGATCTACCCTTCCCAAAACTTGACAGATGTCAAAGGATCGAATTGATAAATTTGGATAAATATTACCACATCGGCTGCGTTGAATTTAGAATGAAAAATCGAAACCTTCCTATGCTGCGAAGTAAAATCGTATGCAACTTGTAACCCAACAGGGAAGTCAAAGGATGATTCCTTAGAAACGATCGACTTTTTTTTCAAACAAGTTCAAAAATTAGCGAAAACTCAATCAAGTTTTCGAACTTCACAAACGTAAGCATTGAAAAACAAAAGCCACATGAGACAGCTGAAATCGGCATTCACGTCTGCTCTGACGTATGGGTAGACACCCAAAATCAGAGTGGTGCTCATTGAGCAACACGTAAAAGAACGACAGAAAATGTGCTTTGGTCATCTTACAGATCCTCTGCTTCTGTAGAGCGAGCGTGGAACGTTGAGAGGTTCGAACTCCAAGCGAAGTTCTCTCGATGGACAGAAAAAATTGCAGTGCAAAAGGATTTACTGTCGACGCAAAAATATCCGCGGTGAAGAAGAAAATAAAAATATCAAAATAACTGCTATTTGAGGAAGAATTTGCAGTGTGAGAAATGAAGTCGTACGTGATAAGCATAAAACTAAATAATCAAAAATTGACTACCCGGCGTCATGACAAGTAAAAGGACGCGAACTGCAACAATGCTGGTTCGTAACGACTTTAAAGTTCTCAGGGTAAAGCATAATTATACTCAGGGGTATTCGAGGTTTTTTTTTCTGTATGCTATGTATCCGCATGCAGAACATCGATGCGCAAATCCCGAAACAGCAACAACAATGAGATTTCAGAGCTGGTATTACAAATTCTAGTTTCGAAAGGGCGTTCAGAGGTTCCAACAATAAATTAGAATTAGTGCAGTACTGTATTCGCGTATGCCGCACAAAGGAAGTTGCCGCCTGAATCATCGCCGGACAACTTCTCGAATTTTGACCGTTAAAAGTTACGAGGAAGAATGTTAGGAATTAAAAACAAGAATGAAATGTGGCGTAATCGCAAGTATTTTACAAAGGCTTGTTGATAAATCGAGCTTAACCATTGAATATTCATATTTGCCCGCGAAAGTAACCATAAATGGAAGAAAGATAAGCCGTTTTTTCCAGCTACTGTACTTCTGATCAGGGTACGCTACGCACTTACGAACGTGCTACGAGCCTCACCCTACCGTGAAATCGCTCCGGTGAAAGCGACTATCGTCGAAGTAACATTTGGTTGGATGGCAATGAATACCGGCATGCGAAAAGCAAGTCGCCTGAGTCATACGCGGCATTCGAAGGAATGCCGTTCAATTTTTCGCACTGCACGACGAATCACAAGTAATTGGGTCGCAGACAGCGTGTAGCTACAAGCGGAATACTGGATTTCTGATGAAGGAAGGCCTCGCGATTTTCGACGGTGTCAATACAGTACTTTCAAATACGTACAGTACATGAAAATAACGGAGAACTATACAGTACAGTATTCGTATTCTGAAAATTCCACGGCTAAAGGATGTATGTACTTTGCTGCATTTTTTTTCTTTTTTAAATCAAACGAAGATTGCGATCAACATCTAATAAAACTATTGCAGATCATACAAGAGAAATTTCGAAAATACTCACGCTCTTCGGTTTTTCGCGGACTGTGCTGCCGTGCAGGTCATCAAGCGTCGGTCGGAAACTGCCGCCGCCACGCGCTATTGACATCAAATCCCGGTAATGATTTTCCTTCGGGAACGCTTCCATGGTGACATGGCGCAAGGACCTCAGGTACCTCGTGTCGTACGTGTAAGTTTGATCTGAAGAAGGTAGAAAAACAAAAATCGTAACGCATGAATTACGCGTCGATGAGTATCAATACAAATGCAAATGGATAGTGTACAGCAATCGTATTCAAGAAAAATTTAGAATTTGACATGAATTGCACAATTCCAGAACAAAAGACTCCCCTACGGCTGGAGTCATGATATTTGAAAGGCGAAGTACCATAACAAGTCAACACAATAGTACGTGTACAGTACACGTACATGCTGGACATTTTGAGCATAACATCACACGGGAAATTTCGAGATTTCTAAACAACTTAAATCTTTAGATGCCAGGACTACTCGCAAAAGCTGAAACGATCACATCAAACAGAAATAGATTTTTGAAGATATAAAACTGATCAATATAGAGAACAATTCATCAGCGAAAATTAACGCCAACCGCTGTCAGAGGCCGTTCGCGGAAATACAGTCAAATAAGGTTTATGCACACCAAGAAAAAAAAAACGAAAAAAACGAGTAAACCTCGCTTCGTAGGGCGTTTACAGAAGAAGAAGCACGGCAGCATTTAGATAATGTTGGATTGCGGATTATTCGCTGCAAAACATGCGCAAAATTCGGACAGCATTTAAATCCTGAAAATCGTTCAATAATACAACAAAATGGACAAATGCTCTGGTATTTGCTTACGTTACAAAAAAGTATGGAATGCCGAATGGAAATCCAAGAATGATTCGAAACACGCTAGCACGATAAATTAAAAGTAAGATCTTATGAACCCTTGTCAGTAGACTGGACTACTAAATCCCATAACTGTACTGTACATCATGCAATCGGAATTCCCCAGAATCCCACTGTTGAAGAATCGGAAACCAAATACTCGCCAATTCATTGATCTTGGGAACTCGTGTGGGAATAGGGGAGGTGGAATTCTGCAAGGAATGCGAAAATACAAAATATTTAAAACTCACTCTGGGCATTGTAGTGGGTCGTCAACAAGTCCGTGTTCTCCTCTCTGGAGTCAGCCTGCGCAGATCCGCCAGCCGTGGAATCAACACGATTCACCTGGAATCTTTTCCCACCATCTCCGCCATCCATCTCGACCCAGTCGCCTTCGTTCTTCTTGGCCCCTTCCGCCGCCGGTTTGTCACTTCAACAACCCAATAAAAACAGTTATGAGATGGTGACATTGGAAACTCTATCAATTGAAAACATAAGATAGCTTTATCACCTCATTTTTTAATGAGATCGCAAACACGTCACAATATTTTTTTCTGAAATAAGAGAAATATTCTCTTTAGTCAAACCCAAACAAATTGAACCTCATTTACTACAGTTGAGTAAATGTGGACTTTCAAAACATAAATATACCGCACTCATATGACAACGAGATTCTGCGTAAGAAGAATTTTATCAAGTTCCTAGAGTATTGCTGGTCTCTCGAGCATCGTTCAAGAGTGAACCAGGGTTTTCGCGCTCAGTGGTGCACAAATTTGCAGGCAATCCAGCTTCATAGATATAATTCCCAAGTTTTTCCATGGGCTTCCTGGTGAGATCAGCCAACGAGAAATACAGGCAAAGGTCGACTACGTTCAGCGAAGTTCCGAGTCAATACAATCCTCGCTGCAGGGAGGACGACGACATTCCTTCAAACTTTGTGTCATGAGTATGACTCATAACTGCAGTATTTCAGGGGTACAGCCCCAGGAATTAAGGTGGATAGCGAAGGAACAGAGAAAAAGCTCTTTTGTTTCTTCATCGTCGTCGTTTAACAAATACAAAAATAGAATATAGATTCAGAAGACTTCCAAGAACTTTGAAACAACCGTGTTCTTTCGTCTATCATAGCTCAGCATCAGAGCGAGAAGTGCACCAGGAACTCAGGAAGACCCCAAAATACAGTCGAATTTCAGTAAAATACGACCGTCAGTGCCAGTAACAGCATTTCGATGCATACTTCCAGATTAGAACAATGATGCTTTGCATAGTTAACTGATGATGTACATTATTCGATTGAAAAAATCGAATCGATGGTTGGCCCAGCTTCGAAAAAAAAAGTTAAAATAACCTTCTGTTCAACAATCCTAAATAATCTTCTAAGCCCTTTCATTCAATGCTCACAGCACATCATGAAAACCCTGCCACATCGAGAACTCAACAACCGAATTCACAAACGATCAAGTACCGATACACTTCACAGTATTATCGCTATTCTTAAAATCCACTTGAACTTCCAATCTCACACGCATGTTTCACGGCTTGTTGGACGTTCTCAGCCACACAAAAAAAAAAAAAAAAAAAAATCCACGATTTTGCTATTCCAACGTAAGCGCTTCGCGATTCTGGATCGAAATGTCCAAGAACTGTACCGTACAGTACTCCTGAGGCTTGGAAGAAAATTGCTTAACATTTTTCAAACTTACGGTCGCAAAATAATGTATCCAACTTGAACCGTCACGGCGGAACTCTTCCCTACTCAAGACAATTACTCGAGTGGATCCACAGGCAAGCACATTACTGTATATTATAAGAAACAATGTTGAATTTGAGTCAACATTCTACAGTGCTACGCATTCGCACATCTTCACGACGTACGTATCGTAAACCTGAAGTTAATGCACAAAAATAACTTGAAGTAGTACATTATGCCAAAGGTTGAAGAGCCGAGTTATGTCCGAATAAAATTTTGATACACACACAAACCAGGGCGGAGGCCTTCATGGAACTGAGAGGTATACTGTACTGAATAAGAACATGATGGATAAAGAGTTTCTCACAATTCGAGGAGACCCATTGATCTGCAATATGCCCTTGAAAATTAAGTTTTGCTACATAAATAAAACGTCCAGTATATATTGTGTCTAGGTAGATTTATGCAGATGTACAACCCCGGATCTATTACAGTACAGTAATTTTGTTGAGCTGCAACAAACTTCGTTTTCTTATTTCTCTGAAGGAGCACTGCGGAGAGAAAGTCCTCTGAATTAGGATACATTTTTAATCAAAAGACCAAGCTGATCAACTGGCGATTCAGGGAAAGGATTACTGTACAGAGTTACAATGATGAAACGGCAGCCCGTAGCATACATCACCGTACCTGAAATCAATAAAATTGGGTCGAAACTCTTCCAATATAGTTTAGTTGAACGTTAAGGATGATGAAAGCACACAAAGCAGAGGTATATGTGAATCGAGATCACCAACAACTCGATCAGACTTCGAACCAAATATAACAATGACTGGAAGCACCTCATCCGAGAACCGGTCGCATCAAGAGCCAAAGCCAGTTTAAAGCAATAGGGAATCGTTCAATTTCCGCAACGATCTGCTCATTGGGGACTCCCATCAACTTTATTGTCTGTCACGAACTCGGGACATGTCGAATCCCAAATTACAGCGCTTATGCTCCACTAGTCCTTTACACGCGGATACTAGGATTAAAATAAATCGGGAGTGTGACCCGGCAGCAGCGTCGCTGTCTACATGGAATCACAGACGAAGAGGAAACTGAATTAGAATCAAAATGAGATTCCGGTATTCGAGGTCATGATCGTTAAATTCTCACGGTCGGGTTGACAAAAATATACCACTCTCTAGGCCATTACAACGAAGGACACTGCCTCTGTCATGAAAGAAATGAGAACTAACATTAGGCCGAAAACTTCTACGTTTTCTTCACAAAGGAAATCATACTCGGTACAGTGACACACTTCAGTTGAATTTATCTCTCGAGATGCCGATTAAAATACCGCCTTTTCGGGACGTTCACGAGAATCCGGCTGATTGGCTTCGAATACTTCGAACGATAATTGTTATCGTAATGTCAATGGCTTTTGGAGCATCTTCTGAGTGGGCTACAGGGAAAACTTGACAAAACTTTCGAAGAAGGTGAAGAAAATGAATTTACAAAATAATTTCGAATAACCACTCTTGATTGACCACGGACAAATTTCAATTGTAGAGGAAAAAAACAGCGGGAATGTCGGCACTTCACGTCAGACCATCTCTGAATTTTCGACGGGTGAATAAAATGTCTCAATATTTCGTTCACAATATACTTGATTGGGTCAATGACCCGAATAACGAAAGTACAGAGCCATCGATCTGTAAGCAAATGTCTCGAAAAAAAAAACAGCAGTGTAGCCAGATTCAATTTCACATAGGAAAACATTTGCGGGTAAACTAATGGTTTTATGTTTTCATGCAAGTGTCCGGTTCTGCGAGGAGGCAGACGCCAGAGGAAGCCGCTTGCAACGGCAGGGAAGACAGGTTGCACAGCAGCCCTTGCTGAACAGCGGTTCAACAGAACGCGTATTTTTATATTTTCCAACTTTGGCCTCAGGGCGTTTCGAGGGAAGATCCCGAGGAAACTCATCACGTCATGATAGATGAACCCGTCGGGACGACGAGACCAGCAATATTCGCGGCGCCCAAACCAATCGGCCCGTAAGCGGCGCCCAAAATCAGAACGGTCTTCTCAGCCGCAAACGCATCATAGGAAACATTTCCTCTTAGAATAAAAATCCCTACGGTAGGGCCAAGAAATGCTGAGATCCGTTCGAAAAAGTACAGAGAGTTAATATATGCACTTTCAAAGCCAGAATTCGAAGCAGAGGAATTCCCCATGCTTAAAGCAAATCAAATTTTTGCAAATGAACTTTTCAGACGATTGTTCCTCAACCTTCTCGAATCGAGTTCTTTTAAACACGTTTTTCTGTGGTTTGAAAATACTGAATGTAGCACATATTTAATCTATTTCCATGAATAGAGAGATGTGAATCCCTGTCTTCTCATTTCTTTCAAAAAGCCGAAGTTCCGTTTCTCTATTTCTTTCTTGGAGTAACAGAGATGGTGTAAGTTTTTCATTCTAGGAAGAAAAAAAATCACTCTTGCTGTACACAGTCACACATGAAGTTAGTGCCTCAATTTCTAATTGGCGATTGAGTAGTTCAGGATATCGTAAACCTTCAAATCCCCTAGCATTGTGTGTTGGGCTTGGAATTCGATCAAATCCCCTCTTAGAAAATACATAAATTAATTTATTAATTCCACCATAAAAAATAATCAGTCATGTGGAAATGCACGTTGGAGTTTAACTGCTTTTGAATATTGGAAAACTAAGTTCGTGAGAAGCCCTCCATTCCTCGAACTTATCGATGACTGACAAAAGGCGTGGTATCAGGACTTGAAGCAATCTCAGAAATTTTCGTACATACACATTGCACTTGTATATTTACATGCTTTTAAATAAGAGCACTTGAGGTAGTTGGAATATTTTCAATGCATAAAAACGATCGACACAACACATGACATCATATACCCCAAAAAACCATAACTTCGATCGAACGACGCATAAAATGCTCATGATCTCAGTTTTTGAGAGATAATATGTGGTTCATCAAGTTACACAAGAATGGAATGAAAGTTCATTCGATCATTGTAATGATCGGGTGCACCTCTTACTTCAAGTGGACAAAAGTGATCCTCAGATCAGGGAGAAGAGTTGCTTCAATTTCATGACCATAAAAATGGGTAGCACATTTCGATTCAAAGGAGAACATAATTAATGGATTACTTCTTATTGTTGCAGTATCATTTTTTTCCTTCATTGCGGTCCACATGATGCTTTAGTTTTCCAATACGGCTCGCGGCAAAACCTGAGTTGGGAACCACTGCAGTGAAGACTCCAATTTGTTTATACGGTATTGAATTTTGAACAAATTTAATTGATTGATATTCATTAATTTCAAAACGAGAAGGTGAGAACTTCTATTCCAGAATTATACGAAGATTGTCAAGTTCATATACTGTAAATGGATTTAATCAACGCAAGCAGAATTTCACCAATAAACGTGACTAAGAATAGAGCGAAAGAATAAAGAAACAAAACTGATGCCATTGAATAGACGTGGAAACGGCTGTCCGTGATATCTGATGTAAAAACAACCATCAAGTTCCTTCGGGCTACGCAAAAAAAATTGGGGGAATCGGCTTACGATGATCTGGTTAAGGCCATGTAGTGACTGCAAACGCGTGAAAGACAAAATTTGCCACTTCAACGAAACCCACGCGTGTCTGGTGCCCGTCTTGGGATTTTTCTTCAAATTGAATGAAAAAAGCGGAAAATACAGAGGGAAAAAAAACTACAGTATAATAACGAAAATATCCAGCACCAAGGAAAGGAATTCGCAAGTGAGTCCTGTTTCACTCTTCACGGTTGGTTTCATGCATTGAAC